GATTGTTTTGCTGAATTCAAACACCTATAGTATTTAGATGCCAATAGAATACCCATCTCTGGCAGGACTACAAAAAAAGGGGATACAAGGAAAGATCATTATGTATTTATATATACAAAATAGTTAGGATAGATATACAGCTACTTTCGCTTAATTCAATGAGAAGAAAAAGGTGTACTAATAGTGTTTGGACAGGATATCTTATCTGTTACTTGTACTATGGATAACTACTAAGAAGATAACAATGTAAAATGTATTCATTATTGAAACTGTGCTATTAATCAACTTTGAAACTGTCTCATTCATATTTGTTTCTCAATAAAATTAAAATTAAAAAAAATAAAATACAGGTCCAGCAAACCCAGATTTGCCACACATGCAGCATTTCACAGCACATAGGGACCTTATGCAAGTGTCTAACTGTGAAAAAAGCCCCTGGGAATGCGAAAGGAGCTGAGGCAGCACAGAGACACCTGATGGTGAACCAAAGGTGGTGCTTTGGCGACTCATGCCCCAACCCATGACCGCCTGTAAAATGCATGAGCCACCCTGATGGCACGTGTCTCATAATGGCAGTGGTTCAGGCTGCTGTGTTACCAGGGATGATGTTAGTCACCCACAGCAGGCCTCAGGGCCAGTACCCAGGCCTTTGGATGCCAACAGAAAGCACTGTTTATGGGGGCAGCTTGGAATTCATTGGAAGAAAGGGCCCAAGGAAGACAAGGTGGACAGAAGTGCAGATCGGCTCCTCATGGGGAGTGAGTCAGGGGTAATGACTAGGAGGCCACAAGCAGAGAGTCCCTTTTAGCGGTTTTCAGGATACTCCACACTTGCTCCTTCCTATAATATTGAGCCCAAAATACTTCTTGGCTACCTTTCTACTCCATCATAGACTCTAAAGTTTAGAGGAACCTTAGAAATTATCCAACCCACTCCCTCATTGTACAGATGAACAGAAAGGGCCCAGAGAGGGAAGGCACTGGCCCAGGGTCAGCCAGCAGGTGGCTTTAGAGATGGGCCCAGGACTGGGAGCCCTTATGCCATCATCCTGGGTCGTGGTCTTTTTAGGTGGCTCCCACCATATTACAGAAAGATCTCCTACCTAATCTTACCCTTGGTCACTTCTCTATGTGTAACTAGATAAGTTTCTCTAAAGGAGAAATCAGTTACTATGTACTTTGGTTTGGATCTGAAACGTCCCCCAAAATCTCCTGTGTTGCAACAATGTTTAGAGGTGGAATCTGGGTGAAGCAATTGGATCATGGTGCCTTTGATCTTGTCAATGGATTAATCCACCAATGGGTTCATAATTTAGTGGGCTGTTGGGAGGATATGGAGATTTAGGAGGTGGGTGGGGTCTAGCTAAATAGAGTGAGTCCTTGAGGAGAGTGTGCCCTTGGGGACAGTGTCTCACTCCCAGTCCCTTCTTCTGTATGTTTCTCTTTTCCCTCCCCTGCTTGTTGGCTGTTATGAGGACAGCAATTTTCACTACCACCATGCCATTCTACTTTACCTCAGGCACAAAGCAATAGAGCCAGCGCAACAGGGACTGAAACTGTTAGCCAGAAGAACCTTTCCTCCTTTCAGTTGATTTATGTCAGGTACTGTGTCACAGTAACAGAAAGCTAACTAACACATTATAATATTTCCCTAAAACCTTCCCTGGCTTCCTGCTGCTTGAGGCTTAAAAGGCCCCCATAATCGTTCCTACTGCTCTACCCCTAGCCTGGCCCATCTCTTAGCCTTCCTCACTTGTTCTTCCCTTCACATGTTGGCTGTAGCTCCCTAGATGGACAAGGTTCTCACCCAGTCCTAAGCCTTTTGTACATACTGTTCCCTTTGCTTTTAGTACTCTTCCCAGCCTTGTTCTACTCTTTAGGTTTAGCAGTAGATCTTGTTCTTTTCCAGGATTCCTTTCTGACCTGATGTCCTCCAGGGCTACCATGCCTGATTTCTCTGGTAGCAGCTCTGTGTTATGATGAACCATTTCCCTATCATTTTCCTTGCTCCCTGAGAGAGGAACTGTGGCACTGCAGTCACCTCTATGCTTAACATGGGCCGGCTCATAGCAAGTACTCAAGAAATATCTGGTGACCAAATAATCATCAGAGTCTGTCCCCCAGACTTCCTAAGCATGGCCTCCCCTCCTTATGATTTTCTTTCAGTATCAGGAATTAAGCTCAGGGGGGACTGTACCACTGAGCTATATTCCAGGCCTTTTTATTTTTTTAATTTTGAGACAAGGTCTTACTAAATTGTCCAGGTTGATAAGTTTATCATCAAGGATGGCTTCTTTTGCCTGCAGGATTCTGGGAACCAAGATTTCTGGTTCTTCTGTCACAACAAGCTTTTTCAGGCCTCTCGTCAGCCTCACAAGACAACTTTCTGATCATCGCTGACTGATAGAGTAAATCTCCCTGTGGGGGAAGGATGCTGTTCACACCCAGTACAACTTTCTAGTCCATCTGGTTTCTTTCTTCATTATTGAACAAAGTTTCTGAATCTAAGACCTAAATCCTTAGAGGAGCTACTAATTCTTGAAGACTGTATGCAAAAGTATGTGTACGTGTATAAATACATTGTATGTGTAAATGTGTGTGTGTTTGTGTGTGTGAGAGTACATGTATAGGCATTTTTCTGGGAAGAGGGTTCATAGCTTTTATTTTTCCTTAGCAGGACTTTGACTCTAGAAAAGGGAAAGCTTAGGGGTCACTGTTTTAGAGAAAGATGTGTATGTTCTTGCTTGCATGGTCTCTTATGAGTTTAGTCAAGTCAGCTATTCTGGAGCCCACCAGCCTTGAGCTCACTCACTAAAGTGAGGTTCTGGCTCCTCCAGCTGGCTGGGAGGCTCACCAGCCTCCATGGAAGGCATAGTATTGTGCTCTTCTAACCTTGTACCTGTTCTGTTTCCTCTGGTGGGGAACCACTTCCCGGGCCTGTAGTTGACTCCCTGTCATTCTGGGAATCATAAAGGCCCATTGCTCCCCAAGAGATACTCTACTCTTCCTTTCTTTCATGGCTTCCCCAAATACCTCATGGCCTCACAGCTGACCATGGCTATATCAGCCACCTCACAGCTGCTCTGGGAGACATGTGCTTCACAGCTTTGCAGCAAGCAAGACGTTTGCAGCACGTTTAGGTTAGGCCTATCCTGGACTACTCCACCCCACAGTCTCTCTGGATGGCCCTACCCCTCTGCAGGCATCCTTCCTCAGACCTGTGAGGAGCCCATCCCGGACCTACAACTGAACAGCAAGTCTGACACTGCGCAGGTGCAAGCCCACCTTCTCTTCCCTCTAGACAGCTCCCACGCTATCCTTAGTGGATCAGTGCCTGTACTCTTGATGCAGCATAAGCCCTCATAAAGCCTCTTCTGGCTGACATATTTTTGCTTATTCATAATTTCTGTCACAAGGGCAGCAGGCTGAGCAGGTACATTAAGAGCTGATAGTATCAGGATCACGGGTGCTGAAAGCAGCAGCATCTGGGCTAACAACCTGGAAGACAGCAGTGGAAATCACGGACAATCATGGAGAGCTGCTGGGAGCTGCCATTTCCAGTCACCAGATTGGTTCCCAAGGGCTTCTGGGAGCTGCTGGCTCTGGCTGCTGGGACAGTGTCAGAAGACTGCTAACACTAAGAGCAATATCCACTGGCACTCAAGGCTCAGGGCTTTTGGCTTAGCCCACCCTGGGGACAGGGCTGGTGCAGCATGTGGTGTTGGGGATCGAACCGCGATCCCTGTGCTTGCTTAAGCTTGCTTAAGCAGGTGCTTTAGACCGCTGAGCTATCTCGCTGGCCCTGCTTCAGGGCTTTTTAACATCAAAAGAACTACACGCTGCCTGTTTGTGCGTTCTATCCAAAGTGAGCAAAAGAACCCTCAGTTAATTGGTGCCACTCAGATACCAGGTTCTTCTGAAAATCTCTTCTGTGCCAGTTCTAGATCAGGTACCTGTTCCTGATGCTTCTACACTATCACTCCTGCCTATCTCAGGCCCCCACTCTCCCTCCCTGAGAGTTACACTTTTCCTTTCCATGGTGCTAACTCCACGACATAATCAGCTGTTTACAGTCCTTGTCTCTTGCCTCCTATGTGGAAAGGGTTCCATGTCTGTCTTTGCTGTTTTACGCTGAACACTAAGCACAGTGTCTAGCACGCAGTAGGTGTCCATGAAATATAACTTGCATGACTCGATCCAAAATCAGTGCTTCAGCCCTCTTAGTACTGTCCTCAATGCAGCTTCTTTGCCTATCAAATGTAGACTGCACTGTGTGCATACACACACACACACACACACACACACAATGTTGTGCATAAACGGAGGGAAGACAGAGCGTGCTGCAGAGGGTTGGCATAAACTAACCTGCATTTCTCAGAAAGCGGCTTTTGTAGTCCCTGATGATCCTCGTGACAGGGTTGTAGAAGCCCTCTCCACAATCGTAACAGCCTTTGGGGATTCTTCTGGGTGGGTCCATATTGGTGAGTTGACAGATAACTTGAAAGGGCACAACAGATACATTAGCTCACCACTGTAGCCAAACACAAACCCAGTGACCCTGTGAGCCCACCTGTGGTCACGTGCTCATGTGGAGACCTGGCTCTACCATTGGGCTAAACACTTCCTGTTCAGGGAAAGAGGCAAACTCGGGAGAAACAGCCTCCTCACAGTGCTTTCTGAAGATGGTTCTGTGAGCAAGGTGTTGGGACGCAGAACCTGTTTTCTTCTCTGACCCTATCCTCCTCCATTTCTTGGGACACCATGACAAAGGGCATAGGTTCTAGAGTCAGAGTGACCCTGAGGGTCAGTCAGAGCTGGCCAAGTGAACAGGGGCACAAGTCTAGGAGAGGGGTGGTATGCAAATTGTGGGGAAAGGTCAGAGGCACGAATCCCTAACCTCCCTCAGGAAACTGGAAAGCACACACAGGGCGAACACTAGAAAAGAAGTAAGTCAATTCCAGACATTATGCTTTTCCTATTGCATGTACTCCTTACAGCAACCATATGGATTCATTTTATGGGTAAGAAAACTGAGGCTTAGAGGGACCAACTAAGTAGCCCAGTGTTATCCAGCTAGGTAGCAGCTGTACCCCATGTGTTAAGTGGCCACATGAAACAGAACAGAGATCCTGGGACCAAGACAGGAACCTGGAGCAGTTGGGAGCACAAAAGAAGTCAGTGTGTGTGTGAGTGTGTGTGTGTGTGTGTGTGTGTGTGTGTGTTTTCTCTGGACAGAGAGCTAGATGATCACTGTTATGGTTTAGAACTAAAGTGTCCCCCAGAAGTGTTTGTAGGTGAGGCCTGGTCGAAAGGAGTAGGTCACAGAAGGTGTGACTTGGAAGAGTATATTTTTTCCTTGCTTCCCCTCCCTGGGTGTGAGTGCTGCTTGCCCTGAGAGCAAGTAGCTTGGTTATAACATATGGGACAGAAAGAGGGCTACTGTGGTCACTTGCTGCTTGCTGCTTCACTGCTGGCTGCCCCTGTCATGCCCCCCTGCCTTGGAGCCAGTCTACTATTATTGACGGAAACCTCACAAACTGAGAGCTGAAATAAACATTTCCTCCTTTAACTTTGGGTGTCAAGTATTGTATCTCAACAAGGAGAAAAGTAAGGAAGGCACTGTTCAACAAGAGCTCCTTACTGAGCACCTTCTACATGTCAGGCAATGGGCTACACAGTGGGGATACAGCTGTGGATAAACCCCAGCTGTGCCCTTGCCACAGTTGGCTTGGAAACATGGACGCTCCTGGAAAAGGATGCACTGAGACATACCAGGGGAGACCTTCCTTAGTCTAGTGATTCAGGGAAGAGGATTCTGGAAAAATGGACAGAAAGCTGAGCTCTGAGGGTGGGAAGGAGTTACGTGGGTAAAGGGGGAATGTTAGAGTATATTTCAGGCAGAGAAATGGCAGAAAGGGTGACCTACTGGAGGATGAGAAACAGCAAACATGGCAAGAAAGAAAAGAGTCGGTCTCTGCAGCTGAGCTGGGATTGTTAGCTGAAGCCAGAGAACAGTAAGTTGTATCGAGAATGTGGACCCTCGTTGTAGTTTGCATTGAAGGGGGGTGAATGTGTGGGTGGCAATCAGATTTTTTTTTCCAGTATTGGGAGTTGAACCCAGGGGGTTTACGCTGAGCTACATCCCTAGCCCTCTTTTTTCAGTTGTGTATTTTGAGAGAGAGTTTTGCTAAGTCACTAAGTTTCCCAGGCTGTCCTTGAATTTACGCTCTTTCTTCATTAGCTTCCCCAAGTGCTGGGATTACAGGTGGGCACCACCGGGCCCAGCTTAGATCTACATTTTTGAAAGATAGAGGGGGCATGGCCCTAGCTCAGGCCTTTAAGTGGCTGCTTCCACAAAGCTCTCAGCCTCAGGTTGCTGGAATTCGAACCTCACAACTCTCCCGCTG